TTACACTACATACAATCCTCATCATTTTACACTTCATACAAACATCATCATTCCACACTACATACAAACATCATTTTACACTACATACAAACATCATCATTTTACACTACATACAAACATCATCATTTTACACTACATACAATCCTCATCATTTTACACTACATACAAACCTTATTATTTTACACTACATACAAACATCATTTTACACTACATACAAACATCATCATTTTACACTACATACAAACATCATCATTTTACATTACATAGAAACCACCTTATTTTACACTACATACAAAAATCATCATTTTACACTACATACAAACCTCATCATTCCACACTACATACAAACATCATTTTACACTACATACAAACATCATCATTTTACACTACATACAATCCTCATCATTTTACACTACATACAAACATCATTTTACACTTCATACAAACATCATTTTACACTACACACAAACCTCCTTATTTTACACTACATACAAACCTCATTACTTTACACTACATACAAACCTCATTATTTTACACTACATACAAACCTGATCATTCCACAGTACATACAAACATCATCATTTTACACTACATACAAAAATCATCATTTTACACTACATACAAACATCATCATTTTACACTACATACAAAAATCATCATTTTACACTACATACAAACATCATCATTTTACACTACACACAAACATCATCATTTTACACTACATACAAACCTCATCATTTTACACTACATACAAACATCATCATTTTACACTACAAACAAACCTCATTATTTTACACTACATACAAACCTGATCATTCCACAGTACATACAAACATCATCATTTTACACTACATACAAAAATCATCATTTTACACTACATACAAACATCATCATTTTACACTACATACAAACCTCATCATTTTACACTACATACAAACCTCATCATTTTACACTACATACAAACATCATCATTTTACACTACATACAAACCTCATCATTTTACACTACATACAAACATCATCATTTTACATTACATAGAAACCACCTTATTTTACACTACATACAAACCTCATTATTTTACACTACATACAAACATCATCATTTTACACTACATACAAACATCATCATTTTACACTACATACAAACATCATCATTCCACACTACATACAAAAATCATCATTTTACACTTCATACAAACCTCCTCATTTTACATTTCATACAAACCTCATCATTTTACACTTCATACAAACCTCCTCATTTTACACTTCATACAAAAATCATCATTTTACACTACATACAAACATCATCATTTTACACTACATACAAACCTCATTATTTTACACTACATACACACCACATCATTTTACACTACATACAAACCTCATCATTTTACACTACAAACAAACCTCATTTTACACTACATACAAACATCATCATTTTACACTACATACAAACCTCATTATTTTACACTACATACAAACATCATTTTACACTACATACAAACCTCATTATTTTACACTACATACAAACATCATTTTACACTACATACAAACATCATCATTTTACACTACATACAAACATCATTTTACACTACATACAGACCTCATTATTTTACACTACATACAAACATCATCATTTTACACTACATACAAACATCATTATTCTACACTACATACAAACCTCATCATTTTACAAGACATAAATATTGACAGTCAGGGTCATTTTCAGACGTGACGTGTTTCTGTGGTGAAGAAAAACCTACGACAAGAACCTGTTGATTGCCCAACATAGGCCTCGACAATGTGACCATAGGTGGAATGTTAGTAGTATAGCTTGTCAGACTTTGACCGTTCAAGCACAGCCAAGCCTGATGCTACCTATGTACTAGCGATATCATTAACTAAGGCATTTATAATTAACACACATTAGTAGTAATAATGTCGAGAAGTGTAACACTAACAGATACCGGTATTACAATGACAATATAATTAAACTTTATTATATACTAGTATTATCGTGGGGCAAAACCTAACGTTCATACAAACTAGAACAGAAGTATACACTATTATCGTGGGGCAAAACCTAACGTTCATACAAACTAGAACAGAAGTATACACTATTATCGTGAGGGCAAAACCTGACATTCATACAAACTAGAACAGAAGCATACACTATTTATGTATATTCTTAGCAGTATTATGACATCATATTACCATTTACTAGTATCAATATCACTTACCAACACTAATATCATTACGATAGCTTTACCATGTTTTAGTATTACATGAAATAGGAATTAGATTCTACTATTAATATAATTGCAACATTACCAGATATGTCCCAGCATAATTTACATATTAGGTATTTATAGGATAAGACAGTATAGCATCAACATATTTCATATAAAAGTATCAATATGAGCATATTCTATGATCTCTTACGTTTTAATACCTTATTGCACAAACTGTCGTCCTCTTTTATAACACGTGATTAATTATAACACGTGATTAATTAGTATCTGAAGCTTTGGAACACATTGTATCATAATTTTCACAAGAACAACAATAAAAACGACAGAATGACAAAAACACCTACAGGATAGATATAATATGGAATGAATGACGAACTCTTATATAAGTTATTATAAATTCATACTATGGAGTATATACCATCAAAGGTATAAAAAGTTATATGTCAAAATGCGTACATAATATCATGAACTTTATGGCAAAGTTGTTTTTTTTTCAACTTAAAACTGAATTTATCAAACCATCATTTGTCCGTAGCGGGTGAGATGTAATCGTATCAAGAAGGTGAAGATCAACCTTATCTGATGACTAAACAAGTGAAAAAGTTACGGTTCGTTTTCCCGATAGTAAAATCTTGTGATATTTATGCCCTAGTGCTATTTCAAGTGATCCAAGGAGTACAGTCCGATTCTTCTAACCATCATGCAGTTTTGCTTTTTCAGGAAGCTGTCCGGTAAGAAACGTTTACTGAAATGGCTTTGGAAGGCGCGCGACGGGTCTCCCACCTGTTGTTCTGTACGTTAGTTATTATCTATCACAAGAAGCCCTCACCCGAAAATGAAATTGGCTGTATATTGAGCGATATTCCCGGCCCATGATACGATTACACACATTAATTGTTTCCTTTGTCATACGTTAGTTATGCAACATAAACATTTCAGCAGCAATTTAGGAAAATCTGTAAACAAGTGGCGAACAAGGAAAACCCCATCTCCGTGTTTAGATTACATAATAGTACATAACAATGCATAAAAATAAAGATGGTACAACAAGAAGAAACTTAATGAAAACATTGTTTTAAATCACCAAGGAACAAATTTGTATATCACTCTGATATGTCAAGTGACATCAATAAGACATCACGTGACATATGAATTAAATTATTAGCTGCACGTGTAGTTGCATTTCTCAATGATCGACCATCACAGTATTGGTAAGCCGTCCAATTTTCGGTGGGCCGTTATATATATATCAGTGGTGATCATCTTACCATAGTTGGTTGTCATACCATTTGTCGCCCTTCCCATGAATAGACTACTAATAAATTAACAGAAGACCATCCCATTAACAGAAGACCACCTCATTAACAGACGACCATCCCATTAACAGATGACCATCCCATTAACAGAAGACCATCCCATTTACAGACGACCATCTCATCAACAGACGACTATCCCATTAGCAGATGACCATCCCATTAACAGAAGACCATCCCATTTACAGACGACCATCTCATTAACAGACGACTATCCCATTAACAGATGACTATCCCATTAACAGACGACCATTTCATCAACAGACGACTATCCCAATTACAGAATAATATCCCATTAACTGACGACTATCCCATTAACAGATGACTATCCCATTAACAGAAGATTATCCAATCAACAGACGACTATCACATAAACAGACGACTATCCCATTAACAGACGACTAATCCATTAACAGAACAGACGAGTAATCCATTAACAGATGACTATCCCATTAACAGACGACCATCTCATCAACAGACGACTATCACATAAACAGACGACTATCCCATTAACAAATGACTATCCCATCAACAGAAGACTATCCCGTTAACAGAATAATATCCCATTAACAGATGACAACCCTAATTAACAGATGACTATCCCATCAACAGAAGACCATCCCATCAACAGATGACAATCCCATCAACAGAACACCATCCCATTAACAGATGACAACCCTAATTAACAGATGACTATCTCATCAACAGACGACTATCCCATTAACAGATTACTATCTAATTAACATAAAACTATCCCATTAACAGACGACCATCTCATCAACAGATGACTATCCCATTTACAGAATAATATCCCATTAACTGACGACTATCCCATTAACAGATGACTATCCCATTAACAGATGACTATCCCATTAACAGAAGATTATCCAATCAACAGACGACTATCACATAAACAGACGACTATCCCATTAACAGATGACTATCCAATTAACAGAAGACTATCCCATTAACAGATGACTATCCCATTAACAGAAGACGATCCAGTTAACAGAATAATATCCCATTAACAGACGACCATCCCATTAACAGAATAATATCCCATTAACATAAGACCATCTCATTTACAGAAGATTATCCCGTTAACGGATGACAATCCCATCAACAGAAGACCATCCCATTAACAGATGACAACCCTAATTAACAGATGACTATCCCATTAACAGACGACTATCCCATTAACAGATGACTATCTAATTAACAGACGACCATCCCATTAACAGATCTCTATCCAATTAAGAGACAATTATCACAATAACAGGCGACCACGACATTTACAAACGTCCGTCCAACATTGGTCGACAGCCCTACACTGGTCGGCTATCATTGATCGAACGTCCTCTTATTTTAGATCACCCTTTCGTTATCCTTAGTTGGCCGCTCAATCGACGGTCAACCGTCACAAACAGACAGTAGAGTTATTGCTTGTCCGTTCCATCATTAGACGGCTTTTCGAGAAAACGTCGACGTCTGGCTTCAAACTGGAATGAACGTGAGTCGTCACTTGCGATAGTGGTGCCTTTCTGCTTATTTATCGCCCGTCTACGTTGGTACTCCCTGTGGGTGTAGGGCACATCATTTTTCACATCACGGTATATATAAAATTTCCAGATAGTGAGTAGTACTAAGCCAACCAGTCCTAGAAGCCACATGTAAGTGATTTTACTGGGGATAGGTTTGGTTACTGTTTCCCATTCAAATTTTAAGGCAAGTAAGACTTCCGTAATGGCAATTATACTGATCAGCCAGAACTGTCGTCCCATCTTTTTACATGTTCTGGAAATAAAAAAAGTCATGTACTTACTTTATATTCAGTATGAATGCTTCTGAATGAGGATTCTTGTCTTTTCAGATAACGGTTTCTATATCGTAAAAAATAATTTCATTTTGAACAGGAATATTGACAACTGTAAATGAGCACTCCATTAACTGAGGTTCAGTCTCCTTTGTATTTACCATCAATACCGTAAAAATCCCTTTATACTGACATCAGAGGTGGAGAAAAACACTTACGGGTCGTCCAGATACTGAAACGCCTCCCTTGCGGACGGAGCAGCCATGAATAGGACTAACACGATCCTACTGACATTGAGGTAGTGTTCAGGTGGAATCCACAAAACAAACTTGATGTAAAAATCGTTTATTTCCACGAGCAGAAACTGTAAAAAATGGTATTGCATACAATTAGGTGTTTTCTACAAGGTCAACATTAACAAAATGAAACGCTACGACAGTGGATGGATTGTATTTATCGTTATTCAACAGACTTTTCAATGTTATATGGAATTATATCTGTATTCACGTATTCATTTACCAATCATACACTTCTAAAAATAGATTTCATATTGATTGGTCAATATAACAATCATACTGACCAGTCCAATCAGAACAATGACTGCTAGCCACCGACGCAAACTTGACAGAGGGTTCCAGTCGAATTCCGTCCAGCTGTAGGGGGTAAACTGCATTGCGAACCGCTTAATCTTACCCCTGGATAAGGTAAAATTCATGTAACAATAATTAATCATAATCAAAACCTCCTTGACATGGGGTATATTGGGATGGCGCCACCACGGATAACAAGCGTTAGCAATCAATCTAACCTTAACGCAAAGAGAGTTCATTCAAAGGGAAATAATGATAAATTATGTACAGATCAAACATGTTTCAAACTCGACATCCCCGGTTCAGTCATTCTTAAGGGTTATGGTATGTCTCTCTACCCTTGCCTATAATTTCAGGAATTCTATTTTCATATAACAGTAGGTAAGAGGTAAGAATATATATATTTTTTACTTCTGTATGATATTGTAACATTGTAAAGATTACCGGTAGGTGGGGATGTTCCACATGCCTCGCCAGTGATACGGTTTCATTTTTAAGTATTTCACAGTCTTCATTCCGACGTAAATCCCTAGTCCATTACTCAGTACCACGTCCATGATCCACTGAAGAAATAAAATCTATGATTACACGTATGTATATAAGTGTGTAGTGACATAACTACACATTTCATACTAATATATATTTGACCTCAGAAAAAATCCATTTTATCATTATCGGTGTCGTCAAAAAATATACCGAATTAATTATACGCTGGCATAAGTAAAATGCGTGTTTTGATAAATAGTCAGAACATACACACCATGTCAGGGAAGAACCAAACTCTACAATTTTAACTTCAACCTAACACACGTCAATTAAAAGCCAGGTTATAAAATACATGTAACGAATATAAGAAATAAAAGTTTGCTGTAAAGACTTATCAATCTAGATGGTACTGAATAATGAGCCGCGTCTTCTTCAGTCTGTGTGTGTATGTATATACTTCAGTCTGTGTGTGTATGTATATACTTCAGTCTCTGTGTGTATGTACATACTTCAGTCTCTCTGTGTGTATGTATTTACTTCAGTCTCTGTGTGTATTCATATACTTCAGTCTCTGTGTGTATGTATATACTTTAGTCTCTGTGTGTATGTGTATACTTCAGTATCTGTGTGTATGAATATACTTCAGTATCTGTGTGTATGTATATACTTCAGTCGTTGTGTGTATTTATATACGTCAGTCTCTCTGTGTGTATATATTTACTTCAGTCTCTGTGTGTATTTATATACTTCAGTCTGTGTGTGTATGTATATACTTCAGTCTCTGTGTGTATGAATATACTTCAGTCTCTGTGTGTATGTATATACTTCAGTCTGTGTGTGTATGAATATACTTCAGTCTGTGTGTGTATGTATATACTTCAGTCGCTGTGTGTATGTATATACTTCAGTCTCTCTGTGTGTATGTATTTACTTCAGTCTCTGTGTGTATTTATATACCTCAGTCTGTGTGTGTATGTATATACTTCAGTCTCTGTGTGTATGTATATACTTCAGTCTCTCTGTGTGTATGTATTTACTTCAGTCTCTGTGTGTATTTCTATACTTCAGTCTCTGTGTGTATTTATATACTTCAGTCTGTGTGTGTATGTATATACTTCAGTCTCTCTGTGTATGAAATAACTTCAGTATCTGTGTGTATGTATATACTTCAGTCTCTGTGTGTATATATACTTCAGTCTCTGTGTGTATGTATATACTTCAGTCTCTGTGTGTATGTGTATACTTCAGTCTCTGTGTGTATGAATATACTTCAGTCTCTGTGTGTATGTATATACTTCAGTCGCTGTGTGTATTTATATACTTCAGTCTCTCTGTGTGTATGTATATACTTCAGTATCTGTGTGTATGTATATACTTCAGTCTCTCTGTGTGTATGTATTTACTTCAGTCTCTGTGTGTATTTATATACTTCAGTCTGTGTGTGTATGTATATACTTCAGTCTCTGTGTGTATGTATATACTTCAGTCTCTCTGTGTGTATGTATTTACTTCAGTCTCTGTGTGTATGTATATACTTCAGTCTCTGTGTGTATTTATATACTTCAGTCTGTGTGTGTATGTATATACTTCAGTCTCTGTGTGTATGAAATAACTTCAGTATCTGTGTGTATGTATATACTTCAGTCTCTGTGTGTATATATACTTCAGTCTCTGTGTGTATGTATATACTTCAGTCTCTGTGTGTATGTGTATACTTCAGTCTCTGTGTGTATGAATATACTTCAGTCTCTGTGTGTATGTATATACTTCAGTCGCTGTGTGTATTTATATACTTCAGTCTCTCTGTGTGTATGTATATACTTCAGTCGCTGTGTGTATGTATATACTTCAGTCTCTCTGTGTGTATGTATTTACTTCAGTCTCTGTGTGTATTTATATACTTCAGTCTGTGTGTGTATGTATATACTTCAGTCTCTGTGTGTATGTATATACTTCAGTCTCTCTATGTGTATGTATTTACTTCAGTCTCTGTGTGTATTTCTATACTTCAGTCTCTGTGTGTATTTATATACTTCAGTCTGTATGTGTATGTATATACTTCAGTCTCTGTGTGTGTATGTATTTACTTCAGTCTCTGTGTGTATTTATATACTTCAGTCTCTGTGTGTATGTATATACTTCAGTCTCTGTGTGTATGTATATACTTCAGTCTCTCTGTGTGTATGTATTTACTTCAGTCTCTGTGTGTATTTATTTACTTCAGTCTCTGTGTGTATGTATTTACTTCAGTCTGTGTGTGTATGTATATACTTCAGTCTCTGTGTGTATTTATAAACTTCAGTCTGTGTGTGTATGTATATACTTCAGTCTCTGTGTGTATGTATATACTTCAGTCTCTCTGTGTGTATGTATATACTTCAGTCTCTCTGTGTATGTATATACTTCAGTCTCTCTGTGTATGTATTTACTTCAGTCTCTGTGTGTATTTATATACTTCAGTCTCTGTGTGTATGTATATACTTCAGTCTCTCTGTATGTATATACTTCAGTCTCTGTGTGTATGTATATACTTCAGTCTCTGTGTGTATTTATATACTTCAGTCTGTATGTGTATGTATATACTTCAGTCTCTGTGTGTATGTATATACTTCAGTCTCTCTGTGTGTATGTATTTACTTCAGTCTCTGTGTGTATTTATATACTTCAGTCTCTGTGTGTCTTTATAAACTTCAGTCTGTGTGTGTATGTATATACTTCAGTCTCTGTGTGTATATACTTCAGTCTCCGTGTGTGTATATACTTCAGTCTCTGTGTGTGTATATACTTCAGTCTCTGTGTATTTATATACTTCAGTGTCTGTGTATGTATATACTTCAGTCTCTGTGTGTATGTATATACTTCAGTCTCTCTGTGTGTACATACTTCAGTCTCTCTGTGTGTATTTATATACTTCAGTCTCTGTGTGTATATATACTTCAGTCTCTGTGTGTATGTATATACTTCAGTCTCTGTGTGTGTATATACTTCAGTGTCTGTGTATGTACATACTTCAGTCTCTGTGTATGTATATACTTCAGTCTCTCTGTGTGTACATACTTCAGTCTCTCTGTGTGTTTTTATATACTTCAGTCTCTGTGTGTATATATACTTCAGTCTCTGTGTGTATTTATATACTTCAGTCTCTGTGTGTGTATATACTTCAGTGTCTGTGTATGTATATACTTCAGTCTCTGTGTGTGTATATACTTCAGTCTCTGTGTGTATGTATATACTTCAGTGTCTGTGTATGTATATACTTCAGTCTCTGTGTGTATGTATATACTTCAGTCTCTGTGTGTATGTATATACTTCAGTCTCTGTGTATGTATATACTTCAGTGTCTGTGTGTATTTATATACTTCAGTCTCTGTGTGTATGTATATACTTCAGTCTCTGTGTGTATGTATATACTTCAGTCTCTGTGTATGTATATACTTCAATGTCTGTGTGTATTTATATACTTCAGTCTGTGTGTGTGTATATATTTCAGTCTGTATGTTTTTATATATACATTTTGTTTATATAACACTTACATGATCCCACCAACATTCGCAGAAGTTTGGAAGCTGATGTTCGAAGGTGTACTCCAATACTTCAAACATAACACTCAAAACCGTACAGATCCACCAATCTCGTAGAAACAGCGACTACAAGCATATTGTCTATCATTACCACAAAGGTCACTACACACCAACAGCTGCTAACATTGTCACATAAATACCATGAGATCCCAGAGGGATCTTGGCGCCCACCATCGTTGGATCTTTATTTGCTCTTTGACAATTGGATTTTACCCTTTCTTTTCTCTTGTCTATTTTTGCTCTTAATGATAAGACATTTGAATATTCCAAACAGTCACTAGAGATCCAGGGAAACATATACATGGAATCTGAGAAAGATCTATGCTGTAGTTCTCAAGAAAAAGCGATAACAATGTTTCAAAATCTAAATCGAGGACGGCCATCTGTTAGTCATTTTGTTTTTCTGATCAGTCCCAAAATTAAGGCACAACTAGAGACCATGGGGAACCCACATATGAAATTTGAGATACATCTTGTACCTTTCAGGAAATGTCGATAACAAATTTGCAAAGTCAAAATCCAAGATGGCCGTCTGTCGGCCATTTTGTTTTCCTGATATACCCAAGATACCCAAAGGGGCAAAACTAGGAACAAAAAGGAACCTACATATAGAATTTATAAACAACTCATAAACTTCAAGAAATAACGATAACAAACTTCATTGAAAAAATCTAAGATGACCGCCTGTCAACCTCTTTTTTTCTTTGATTAGTCCTAAAATCAAACGGGAACAACTAGGGACTTTGAGAAATTTGAGAAAGATCCACCCAATACTTTTCAAGAAATAGCGGCGCTTTAAAGCCTACCATTTGATGACGTTGGGCTAAAAACGATAGAAATTTTGAAATTTGGCGAAAAAGCGGGCAGATTACAAAATACAAAAGGAAGCTTGATCACAACTCCCTTAGCAAGAGTATTTTTTTTCTCCACAATTTTCGATATTCTCAGTAAACCATCTTTAAACTACAGAAATGCTTGGTCATGTTAGTGGCAGAAATGTGCATTATGTTATTGTTTTATTACCGCATTGATATTTCATTAATTCAAATGATTCACCCAAAACATTGTTGTACAATGTTTTACTATATAATGACTCACCTTTGCCCACCAGCCAAGAAAGTGGGATATCACAAATAGGTCAGCTTTATCCTGCAAATAGAGAAAACATTTAAGATTATTTGAACAAGTTGCTTTACAATGAAATATCTGAACGATAATTTACACAGTCAGAAATGACATCTGGGTCGAATCATGCTGTTTGCCTAAAGGAATTTCTTACATTACAACAGACATCTTACCTTTTCCTAGTCACCACATTAGAATAGTCGGCTTACCTTCTGTGAGCCAGCACAATATAGTGGTACATGCTCTCACCTTGTGTAAGTCACCACGTTAAGAATCCTGACTTGTGTGAGTCAGCACGATGATAATCTTACCTTGTGTAAGTCACCACGATGATAATCTCACCTTGTGTAAGTCACCACGTTAAGAATCCTGACTTGTGTGAGTCACCATGATCATAATCTCACCTTGTGTAAGTCACCACGATGATAATCTCACCTTGTGTAAGTCACCACGTTAAGAATCCTGCCTTGTGTGCGTCATCACGATGATAATCTCACCTTGTGTAAGTCACCACGTTAAGAATCCTGACTTGTGTGAGTCACCATGATCATAATCTCACCTTGTGTAAGTCACCACGATGATAATCTCACCTTGTGTAAGTCACCACGTTAAGAATCCTGCCTTGTGTGAGTCAGCACGATGATAATCTTACCTTGTGTAAGTCACCACGATGATAATCTCACCTTGTGTAAGTCACCACGTTAAGAATCCTGACTTGTGTGAGTCACCATGATCATAATCTCACCTTGTGTAAGTCACCACGATGATAATCTCACCTTGTGTAAGTCACCACGTTAAGAATCCTGCCTTGTGTGCGTCATCACGATGATAATCTCACCTTGTGTAAGTCACCACGATGATAATCTCACCTTGTGTAAGTCACCACGATCATAATATCACCTTGTGTAAGTCACCATGATCATAATATCACCTTGTGTAAGTCACCACGATCATAATATCACCTTGTGTAAGTCACCACGATCATAATATCACCTTGTCACCACGTTAAGAATCTTGCCTTGTGCGAGTCATCACGGTCATAATCTTACCTTGTTTGAGTCACCACGATGATAATATCACCTTGTGTGAGTCACCACGTTAAGAATCCTGCCTTGAGCGAGTCACCACGTTAAGAATCCTGACTTGTGTGAGTCACCACGATGATAATCTCACCTTGTGAAAGTCAGCACGATGATAATCTTACCTTGTGTAAGTCACCACGATGATAATCTCACCTTGTGTAAGTCACCACGATCATAATCTCACCTTGTGTGAGTCACCACGATGATAATCTCACCTTGTGTGAGTCACCACGATGATAATCTTACCTTGTGTAATTCACCACGATGATAATCTCACCTTGTGTAAGTCACCACTATCATAATCTCACGTTGTGTAAGTCACCACGATGATAATCTCACCTTGTGTGAGTCAGCACGATGATAATCTCACCTTGTGTAAGTCACCACGATAAGAATCCTGCCTTGTGATTTACTACATCAAGTTCCTTAACTTCAGGGAGTTACCACGTGGAGTGTCTTACTTCGTGATATTAACTACGAAACTTGACTTAACTTGTGATTTACCACGTGTGTTGATATGGACCCTGAAGTGTTTACCAACTTATTTACAGTCGTGTCCTATGAATGAATAACCCCGTTACAATTATTTCCTTACTTTGATATTATGGAATGGGTCAGGATGATCCGAGTCATATATGTAGCAGTTGCCTCCATAGTTTTTCTCTGGTAAGGGTTTACCAAGACTCGAGTCTATATGACGAAGCAGGTTTCTGGCATCGGCAGGAGTCTGAATAATTTGTAGGAACGATAAAAATATCACTCAGAAAAGGTTGGAAGTAGATATCATAACAAACGTGGTTAAAACTTATGTATAACAGTTGTGTGTACAAATAATCTGATGTACAATGAATGACATCAAACGGAAATAATATTCCAATGCTGATATAACTCTATGATATAACTACTGGAATACTACAGCATCACGTTTTATTTACAAAAGCCCTTAACATAATCGTGTTCTGTCTTTATGGACAACAACCAGTTATCTGTGGTGACCTCTATATGTACACAGTAACAACAGATTTATCATTGTCAGGAAGATACAAGCAGTTTATCTAAATAACTATATTGTAGAGGAAATCAAACTAAGGTACATGTATATCATTCTGTCGATCAACAGTGTATAAAAATGGATGTTTTCATTAAAACATACAAAAACTTACACAGCTGCTTTATCTAAATATGAACATAAACAAATTTAACAGCATTTCGTTAATGATGATATCATAACGTCTATTAAAAGATTACTCTGTGTAATGTTTACAAAGCTGGTAATTTTTTGGCTTTAAATAGTATACAGTGCCGGGAAATACTTATGTGACCGCTGGATATTGTTGAACTAGTCTGTAAAGCAGAAACCTTAATCGATGTTCTATCAAGGTAAACATTAAGATGTGTTCATTACTACATATTTAGATACAAATTCCGATGACTTATTTTTGTTGACTTACCTGGAACAGAAGGTACACCAACGCCAACTCGTAAACAATGCTAACACACAGAACCAAACGCCACATCGCTGTAACAATGACGAGAAGTTTCCTTAACATTTGTGACGATCTCATGGACTAACGATTAGGAAGAAATATATAGCGAAAATAAAAAAAAAATAAAAATATATACATATGTATACAACACATATTTGGGCATTTGGTTTCGGAATTCGTGCCAAGTCCCTGTGTTCAAAGCCATCAATGTTTTCTTGATGTGTAAATATGCCTACCTGGATGTGGGCGTTTGAATGGTCCATCGGGAGTCACTGTTACTCCAAACAACAGGAAGGCAAGAACCACTGCAGCAACACCCCTGATAAAAACAAAGACACGGGGTTCTGACTGGAAAAACAGGTGTATAGAGCAGGCCTTTAATACATACAGGGATAACTATTTCACCACCTATAGTGCCTCTAGACACTTATTGTGAGTCTACATACAGTGATTCTCAAGACACTTTTGGAGTCATCAACCATGAAATATTTTTTCTTGAATGTCCGGCTTTAGATCGATGTCCTGGGTACAATGGTTTCTACCTCGATCCTCCTCCTCTTTATAATTCATAGTTTAGCTCTACCGTATATTATACAAATTTGTATTAAAAGGTGCTATTCACTTCTGTGTCTTTTACAATTTTTTTATGGTGCAGCCGGTAGTCATATCGATGTCAGAAATCTGTGGCCATTGTTATCAGAAACATCATTAGATACGCCTACAGCGCGATTTATAACGGTGAGAAGATCTACAGTACATATAATGAATATCTGGAATACAAAACATATGCCGTTTGATACAGCGGAAATCTTATACTGTATAACAACATAATATACTTCGATACGTTATTAGACAGTCAAATATAATATTGAAATGTGCTCAATTCATCTACTTTTACATTAATAATCGGTCGAAAATTACATCAGATATATTTATAACCTGTCTGAATATTTTGTTGTGGGACCTTGGATCAGATAAATGCTAAACAAACGACTATACCTTCTGCTGTTGTATTCCGAGTCATTGATGGGATCCTCGAATAAGGCGATGTAGACGAGAAAGCCAATGAAAACGACGAGGACCGTAATGGTGTGGGCTCTCCTGTTAACAAGCATTGATAAGCGTGAATATAACACCAACATATTATTGTTCACGTATTTCATGTTTATTACGGATTTTCTGACGACGTTTTATTGAATGTCACTAGCAATGTCTGCACAGTCAGTGGTAAAAACGACCTCTCTGACGTTTATTCTACTGGTAATGACTTCAAACGGAAGTATGACGTTCACTGATTTTATTGTGTATAGATTGGCTGTGTATCATTGTGATATTACTGCGGCATTCTGTGTATCTTATTGGACATCGAGAGAAACTTGTTGCTTCCACTTTGATAAAGTTCAATTTTAGAACGCCTGCGTTCAAACCAAACTTCAAAAATTTATACGCGGAGTAACTTTACTACAGAAAAAAACAAAAAGGTGTGCGTGCAGATCGACGGACAGAAGGACGGACAAATGGAGAGAGCCCATTTGTATCCCTCATCTTTCGACTCAGTGTTTGAAAACACTCGATGGGTGGCCGATAGTTATAAGGATATGGTTCTGTTCACATTTGCTTGGTGTTTCTTTCAAGATTCGTAACCATGCAGTTGTACCGCTATACAATGACCTGTTATTCTTATTTTTACAAACATAACAATTTGCCTGTCAGTGTATTTTTGCCTGCATTCATTTTACATTGGCAGTGTACTGTTTAGTTAGTATATTGTTTATTTTGGCAATAAATTGATTGTAGGTACACGGTTTATTGTTGACAATACATTGTCAATACATATCAGTAGGTAGTCCGTACATACTTGTCAGTAAGTGTAGGTACACGTTTGTCAGTAAGTCATTCCGTCAATACACGTTTGTTAGTACATAACTGTCAATATGTCTGTCAGTACATTTCTGTCAACATATGTTTGTCTATATGTATGTCAGAACATGTTTGTCAGTACGTCTGTCAGTACATGTCAGTACACATTTGTCAGTACATGTTTGTCAGTATGTCTGTCAGTACATGTTTGTCAGTACACATTTGTCAGTACACATTTGTCAGTACATGTTTGTCAGTACACATTTGTCAGTACATGTTTGTCAGTACACGTTTGTCAGTACATGTTTGTCAGTGCACGTTTGTCAGTACATGTTTCTCAGTACGTTTGTCGATACATGTTTGTCAGTACATGTTTGTCAGTGCACGTTTGTCAGTACATGTTTCTCAGTACGTTTGTCGATACATGTTTGTCAGTACATGTTTGTCGGTAAATGTTTGTGAGTACATGTTTGTCAGTATGTATTTGTCAGTACATGTTTGTCAGTACATGTTCGTCAGTATATGTTTGTCGGTACATGATTGTGAGTATATATTTGTCAATACATATTTGTCAGTACATGTTTGTCAGTACATATTTGTCGGTACATGTTTGTCAGTACATGTTTGTCAGTAAACGTTTGTCAGTACATGATTGTCAGCACACGTTTGTCAGTATATATTTGGCAGTACAAGATTGTCAGTACATGTTTGTCGGTTCATGTTTGTCACTACATATTTGTCAGTACAAGATTGTCAGTACATGTTTGTCAGTACATGATTGTCAGCACATGTTTGTCGGTACATGTTTATCAATACACGTTTGTCAGTACATGGTTGCCTGTATCGCCACGTGATAAGCCAGTGTCATTTTGTGGCGGGTCTCCTTGTAAATTCTATCTCAATCCGACTCCTTCGACAACATACCTGTGGTCAATCGTATTCCATCCAGACCTCAAGGACACAACTACGTGTTTTTGTTTGAGAAAAAAAAACCCGACACAGGTAAGGGGGGAGTGGGGGGGAGTCGAACCACATACCTCGGCTCTGTGCCTGATGTTATGTAGGCTAACACTACCGAATGTGTTATCTTGTCCCCTACATTCAGTTTGTTTGGACACGGATGTTTTGTTTATCAATCTTGTGTAGATCAGTGCTTGCTTAATACTATATCTAATCTGTTAAATGATTTTTTATGGACTTTTAACTGAATGACAAGTGTTCTCGAGCTCAATATCCGCGTAATAATTTTAAAATACATTATTTTTTTCGTTGTTTATATTCTTAACTGCAATAATTTAGCTCAGGTTTGGCATGATTTGTAATGAGCGGTGAAAGTTGTCATAAACATTGATGAAATCGCCACATTTCACAACGTAAGGTCAGGTTTTAACTTTCAATAGTGTTCGATATCAAACTTCAAACACTGTTAATTTGTAATTAAAAATTCTGATAATTATCATATGTAGAAAGATTCTGAAAAGAAAAAAAGTACAATAGTTTTTAAGATTTAAAAATAATCGAATTCTTTATTTGAGAATTCGATCAACCAACATAATACAGCTCGTACACCGATGTAGCTTCTATTGTAAATAACACTGTAGACCATTTTCACAATGAAGTATGCTGTATATAATTGTATGTAAATATTATAGTTGAAATAGGTATTCTTGAAGTACTGTTAGTTTACGTACTGATAGAGTTTGTGGACTATATCCGCGACCCCTACTCAGGCGTGCTCCGAAAATGAAAAAATACAAAATGTAACAGAAAAAGAATGAAAACAGAAAATTAATTGAAATGTCCAGAATTCTTAAATCTATCATCAGCACATAAATTTCTGGATCTGCCCTGTCACCACAGTCTTACACTCACCAGAAAAACGTGTTGGTCCCATCGTCAAATACGTTTGTATTTTTCCTCTTCTCAGCCTCCCAGTCGAATGCTGTGGTGGTGTGAATTTTCAGCTCGTCTATCTCCTGGTCACTGTTAGCGGCTGCCATGATGAAATGGTGCTGGATTTCAGCCGAGTTTTTACCGACACGTCCTTATCTTCTGCCCTTTACAATGCACACTATCTGCAGGTGAAAATTTAAGCCTTTATGGCCAGGACACAATGTGGACACTTGTAAATAGGTGACGCTGGTCCTAACACACAGGACAGAGGGTCCATTATAGCTTTGTCGGGTGGGCAGTGTATTCACCTGGTGACACCTGTTCATGGCCAGTGCTATCACGTTTATGGTTGACAATATCGATAATGAGACATGATAACCAGGTTGTAAACCTGATGATCTCTGAACATAACAGCTTTTTTACTTAATGTTTACGTGGCATGGTTTGAATTAAAACTGTTTGGTATTACATAAACCCATACAAACAATTTTAATTTTAGTTGTCTAAATATTAAACCAAGGTATTTTGATTTTTCGTTTGACTTAAAGATCAATTGATAATTTCGTTTAAAATACATCAATTTTCCACAACAGGTAAAAACAATATATACAGTGAAGAGTTTACATCGCCTCACAACATTTCCTGTACCACGACATTCTAGTTCCGTTCATATTTAATGGCACATATCGTGGACAGATCATTTGTATGACAGAGTCCCTGTAAACATCTCGACACGTTTATTAAAGCGTGATCTATTCGAAATTCCACCCAAGTATAACTTATTGCCGAAGCCTGGTCTATTGTCATGGTAATATTTACACACACATGTTAATGTATAATAGATGTATGTATTCAACAGGGTACAAAGTATTGGATTTTACAGGAAGCTTATCGATCCTTAAATGCCGGGTATATAACGAGTTATATACATGTGCTATAATTTAAAGCTACCCTCGCGACAACACACGACTGCATGTCTGTAAGCTACACAGAAGCACGTGGAAAGCTACACAGAAGCACGTGTAAGCAAAGCGTGTTCAAATTATTTTGTCTTGGTTTTAGAGTCTTCTTTCCTAATTACCTTATTTGAAAATGTTGACAGCCGAACTGCGATAAACGCTTTCTCTTGAGCCGTTATCATTATTATTTTTGATAAGAGTGAAAAATGCTGACGTATAATAAAGATTGGCCAATAGAGACACATCACCGGTCGATTTTGGTTAGTGCTATAAAACTAACGCATATATTACAATCAATGTAACTTGTTGGACATTATAAATTCCGTTGAGTATCGACAAAACGACAATCATTCACAACGTCAAAGGATCTCGTGTTATGGTTGTTTCTTAAACTATCGCGTCTAAATAGCAAATTACGAAGGCCGAAACGGTATTTTTCTCGTGCATCAAAATGAAATACCTTAGTACTGTGAAAGGTTTGTGTGATGATTAGACTATTCAGTCGCTAAAACATTGACTAATTCTTTTATAATTTCATCAGTTTATTTTACCTCTATATCCAGCACAACATCATTCAACAATTGGTTGATACAACCCTGGAAGGACACTTTGAACACATGTACATAAGTTAGAATATATATGTACAGAAAACATCAGTAAGCCGAGCTCTGGTGTATCCAGGCAATTGTGTCATAATTACACGATCAAGGAAAAATACTATACGTTATTTACAACGTAAGACAAATGTCCTTTTACAGCCAACACATGGCAAGATGAAACGTACACTTCCAATGGTCTGGGAGTAGGTTAGTTCTGATACAGAAGTAAGTGTACGTATTCTTGACAAAACTCTTCACTATGAAATAACGTGTTTATTGTTACATTGCTCCGTCATAACAGTTAACCTTCTATATAGACAAACAACGAATATGACCTTCAGCCAAAACTGTTTCTTTTCGTATGTATAAACAGCTTTGTTGAGAAGTACCAGTTTTCTTTTCCGTATACATGTTACAACGCCACTCGATACAGACCAGGAAACTGGTCATCAAGTCTCATCAATTCCATTCGTCGACCCTTTAAATAAGCTGTGCAGATAACAATGAGGATCAAAAAAATCATTCATCAACTCCAGGAAGTGTAAGAATAATACGAAAGCAAAGAATTGTCATGTTATATAGTCTGTAAAATATCCGGTATCATATGTAACAGATCCAAGTAAAAATATTGTTCGGTCGACGACCAGATACTAATGTGTATCTGCACTGGTGTGTATACCTGATGGGAGACATACAGTAGGATTACTGGTGTGTATACCTGATGGGAGACATACAGTAGGATTTATACCTGATGGGAGACATACAGTAAGATAACTGGTGTGTATACCTGATGGGAGACATACAGTAGGATTACTGGTGTGTATACCTGATGGGAGACATACAGTAGGATTACTGGTGTGTATACCTGATGGGAGACATACAGTAAGATAACTGGTGTGTATACCTGATGGGGGACATACAGTAGGATTTATACCTGATGGGAGACATACAGTAAGATAACTGGTGTGTATACCTGATGGAAGAAATACAGTAGGATTACTGGTGTGTGTACCTGATGGGAGACATACAGTAAGATAACTGGTGTGTATACCTGATGGGAGACATACCGTAGGATTACTGGTGTGTATACCTGATGGGAGACATACAGTAGGATTACTGGTGTGTATACCTGATGGGAGATATACAGTAAGATTCCTGGTGTGTATACCTGATGGGAGACATACAGTAGGATTACTGGTGTGTATACCTGATGGGAGACATTCAGTAGGATTTATACCTGATGGGAGACATACAGTAAGATAACTGGTGTGTATACCTGATGGGAGACATACAGTAGGATTACTGGTGTGTATACCTGATGGGAGACATACAGTAAGATTACTGGTGTGTATACCTGATGGGAGACATACAGTAGGATTTATACCTGATGGGAGATATACAGTAGGATTACTGGTGTGTATACCTGATGGGGGACATACAGTAGGATTTATACCTGATGGGAGACATACAGTAGGATTTATACCTGATGGGAGATATACAGTAGGATTACTGGTGTGTATACCTGATGGGAGACATACAGTAAGATTACTGGTGTGTATACCTGATGGTGGACATACAGTAAGATAACAGGTGTGTTTACCTGATGAGAGACATACAGTAGGATTACTGGTGTGTATACCTGATGAGGGACATACAGTAAGATAACTGGTGTGTATACCTGATGGGGGACATACAGTAAGATAACTGGTGTGTATACCTGATGGGGGACATACCGTAGGATTTATACCTGATGGGAGACATACAGTAGGATTACTGGTGTGTATACCTGATGGTGGACATACAGTAAGATAACTGGTGTGTTTACCTGATGAGAGACATACAGTAGGATTACTGGTGTGTATACCTGATGAGGGACATACAGTAAGATAACTGGTGTGTATACCTGATGGGGGACATACCGTAGGATTTATACCTGATGGGAGACATACAGTAGGATTACTGGTGTGTATACCTGATGGGAGACATACAGTAAGATAACTGGTGTGTATACCTGATGGTAGACATACAGTAGGATTTATACCTGATGGGAGACATACAGTAGGATTTATACCTGATGGGAGACATACAGTAGGATTTATACCTGATGGGAGACATACAGTAGGATTTATACCTGATGGGAGATATACAGTAGGATTTATACCTGATGGGAGTCATACAGTAGGATTTATACCTGATGGGAGACATACAGTAAGATTACTGGTGTGTATACCTGATGGGAGACATACAGTATGATTACTGGTGTGTATACCTGATGGGAGACATACAGTAGGATTACTGGTGTGTATACCTGATGGGAGACATACAGTAGGATTTATACCTGATGGGAGATATAAAGTAGGATTTATACCTGATGGGAGACATACAGTAGGATTACTGGTGTGTATACCTGATGGGAGACATACAGTAGAATTACTGGTGTGTATACCTGATGGGAGACATACAGTAAGATTACTGGTGTGTATACCTGATGGGAGACATACAGTAGGATTTATACCTGATGGGAGATATACAGTAGGATTTATACCTGATGGGAGACATACAGTAGGATTACTGGTGTGTATACCTGATGGGAGACATACAGTAAGATTACTGGTGTGTATACCTGATGGGAGACATACAGTATGATTACTGGTGTGTATACCTGATGGGAGACATACAGTAAGATTACTGGTGTGTATACCTGATGGGAGACATACAGTAGGATTACTGGTGTGTATACCTGATGGGAGACATACAGTATGATTACTGGTGTGTATACCTGATGGGGGACATACAGTAAGATTACTGGTGTGTATACCTGATGGGAGACATACAGTAAGATAACTGGTGTGTATACCTGATGGGGGACATACAGTAAGATTACTGGTGTGTATACCTGATGGAAGACATACAGTAGGATTTATACCTGATAGGAGATATACAGTAAGATAACTGGTGTGTATACCTGATGGGAGACATACAGTAAGATTACTGGTGTGTATAACTGATGGTGGACATACAGTTAGATAACTGGTGTGTATACCTGATGGGAGACATACAGTAGGATTACTGGTGTGTATACCTGATGGGAGACATACAGTAGGATTACTGGTGTGTATACCTGTATACCTGATGGGAGACATACAGTAGGATTACTGGTGTGTATACCTGATGGGAGACATTCAGTAGGATTTATACCTGATGGGAGACATACAGTAAGATTACTGGTGTGTATACCTGATGGGAGACATACAGTAAGATTACTGGTGTGTATACCTGATGGGAGACATACAGTAGGATTTATACCTGATGGGAGATATACAGTAGGATTTATACCTGATGGGAGACATACAGTAGGATTACTGTTGTGTATACCTGATGGGAGACATACAGTAGGATTACTTGTGTGTATGCTTGATAGGAGACATACAGTAGGATTTATACCTGATGGGAGACATACAGTATGATTACTGGTGTGTATACCTGATGGGAGACATACAGTATGATTACTGGTGTGTATACCTGATGGGAGACATACAGTAACATTAC